AAAAAAATTTTTTTTTAAACAAAAAGATGTTCCTGCTAAAAATTTATGTTCAAATATTTTGCAAAAATATGTTGCGGTGCATGATGGGGTATTTAATCTATTACATTATTCCATTTCATTGCCCACATGCCAGCTAGACTGGCAGTGAATGCTCACACACCGCTGAGCTTTCATGGATTCATTGTTGAACTGCCCATCTGCCTCTATATTGTAGTGTTTTATGTTGGTGTTCAGTTTCAGTTCTTGTAAACTCTGCCCAGTTATGTTCAGAGTGCCGTCAAGGTCCAGAGCCGTTCACACAGCATCTGTGTTTGTTCAGTTGTGGCTTCTTTGCTTTCAGAGCAGGGCAGGGTGTGTCCATGTCAGCTGCTCTGCTGTATTCATGCTGAACACACCCTGCCTACCATCTCACAAACAGAGTTCCCGCAGCTGGAGATTCCACCTGAATCCTAAAGTTTACTTCACATCCTTGCCTTTTTCGCACTGTCCCTGTCATGGAGCGTCTGAAACTGGTTTTGCAGTACTTCCAGTCCAACTCCGAGTCCATCTCTAATGGAATCTGCATCATCCTGGCGCTGGTCAGCGTCAAGCTCTACACCAGCTTTGACTTCAACTGCCCATGCCTTCCTCAATACAACAAGCTGTACTCTCTGGGGGTGATGATTGTCCCTCCCATCATCTTCTTCTTCCTGGGGGTCTTGGTCAACCGACACACAGGCGTCATGATGGACGAGTGGATGAGACCAGTTGGGAATCGATCCAAAAACCCTGCCGTGGTGAAGTGAGTAGAACTCTTCCTGTAAGAAACCCAACCAATCAGCTCAGACACCCGGCATGGATTAGACTTAGATAGTATTTATTATTTTTGTATACAAAAGAAACTTCGTTAAGTACAGCTCTCTAGACTATTTCATTTTTTAAAGTGCATCCGATAAAAACATTTGTGATGGGGGAAAAAACACTGCGTTGAAAAGAAGTGATGTAAACATATGACTGTATAGTTACAGTTCCAACATCCAGGTTTTTTTTTTTTTATAACCTATTTTACATAACATTCAGCAGTGTAATGGCAGTGGGGAAGAAACTGTTGTGGAATCTGCTGGACCTGCATCGGATGCTGCGAAGCCTCTTCCTAGAGGGCAGCAGGGAGAACAGTCCATGGTGGGGGTGTGAGGGGTCATTGATGATGTCACAGGCTTGGGACACACAGAGCTGGGATGAAATGTCTTTAATGAAGGGAAGAGGAGCCCCCATGATCCTGTCTGCTGTTCTTACCACTCTTCTCACCTTCTTCCAGTCTAAGGTGCTGCAGCCTCAAAATTGGCGTAATTTAATTTACTAATAAAATCACATAAGTAATTATAAAGGCCTATTTCTTTTATTTACAATAGTAATATGGGCTGGAGGTCACGTACGCTTGGAATCTTGGAAAACAGCATATTTTAAACTCAAGCGAATCTGCACATACTCAATTTAAAAGCAAAGAGAACTTAGCAAAAACAGAAAACATCTTTTTCCTGTTTAAGTATTAGAGCCAAGTTTGTCCATGTGTACAACCTTGGCCAGCACACACATATTCCAGTATATACATGTGCACATCCAGTCGTGCACATGTATTCCAATAGTGCGATAAAGAGAGTATAAAAACAGCTTAAAATGGGGAGAGGGTTGGGAAAGTGATGATGTGAAGCGCTGTAAATGTGTACTGCAGACAGCTCATGAATTGACCTGTCTGTCAATAACTGCTTTCCCCCATCCTGTGGGCAAATGAGATATTTCACGGAAGACATCTTCATTTTTGAGAATTCTACCATTTTCAGCCTCCAATAGATTCAGGACACACTGGGTGACGTTTCCGTCTCCTGGTCCACACATTACATCAGACGTTACATCTTTTTAAGCTTGACCTTGACCTGGACGACTGAGAGTCTTTACAGATATGTGACATCAGAACATCTCAGCACATCACATATGATTTAATACAGAATGGTCCGATGTAGGGCTGCAATTTATTTTTTTTATTAAACCATTAATAATCAGATAGCAAAAGGTTCCTTAAAGAAGACTTTTTGGGAAACTAAACCAGGTTAAACTAAAACTTTTCCACTTGAGGGGTTCTGGATAGAGCGGATTGACAGAAGACATTTTTTAATAAATATGAAGAGTGTTTATATACATTTATGTTTTTACATTAAATACATGTTTTAGAGTCTCTAAACTCCATTTAACGATTAATTGATTGCTAAATTGGTTGATGATTATATCAATAATGGATTAATCACGATTGTTTCAGCCTTAGTCTAATGGAAGCCCGAACCCGGGGTTCATCGAACCAAACTGAAACAGGACTTCATGCAAAAGGAGCCCAGATAGTGAACAGAACATGAGGACGATGTTGGTTCTGATTGTTGTGATGTTCTAATGTTCTGAATGGGCTAGATTAGAACTCCTCTATATCATCTACAGAGGTATCAAAAGTATTCATGTTTATTACTCCAGTATAAATCCTATTGTTAAAAAACATTTTTATAAAAGTTAGAGGATCAACTTAAACTTTTTACTCCAGTAAAAGTGTAAAAGTACCATTTTAAAACTACTTAAAGTATAAAAGTAAAAGTAGGAACAATGATAACTGGATCATAACTTACTTAGACTTAATATTCTTAGTTTTATAACTAATGGTTACAGTGTCAAATTTAACTTTGAATCTTGAAAAAAACAATTTGTTTTGGTATGTGGTGAACAACAAATTAGCACTGAGTCCAACCACAAAGAATTTAATTATCTGGATAAAACTAATTATTTTTATTTTTTAAAATACCAACAGGCCATAGTAGAAAAGGGCTTAAATAAAACAAAACAAATGAGTCTGTTTCTTAAATGTAAGGAGTAGAAGTAGAGAGTTGTTTTAACAAAAATTACTGCAGTAAAGTATCGATAGACAACATTTCTACTTAAGTAAGGGAAGGGGAGCTGATGAAGGAAGGCAGGATAATCCACTGGGCGAAGTCAATAAGCAGATCCAGGTTCAGTCCACAGAAGAGTCCAACAGAAGTCCCAGGACGGGTCAGGCAAACAGGTCAGACAGTGGCATGAGGCTCAAAGGTCCAAATACAGAAACGGGTCAGGATGGGACAATCCAAACACAATAGAAACGCTAGAGATGTCTCAACCCCAAAGGCTCAAGAATAATCAAGTTTTTTAACCTCTCAACATCCACCTCATTTTGGGTAATTCCCGCCTATTTTGCATACCCAGGTGGAAAAGAAAATAACTGAGGAACCGTAAGCCCCAATTACATGAGTGATACATCATTTGAAAGCTAACTCACACTGAGCCTGGTTCTGCTGGAGGTTTATTAAAAGGGAGTTTTTCCTCTCCACTGTCGCTACAAGCATGCTTAGAGTGAGGGATTATATTCGAGTCAATCAGTCCATGCAATAGACTGGTTTTCCTTAGATAGAAAACTTTGTATAAATTTGACTGTATGATCTGGTTGAACTGTAAAGTGCCTTGAGATGATTTGTGTTGTGAATTTGGCGCTATATAAATAAACTGAATTGAATTGAACTCTTTCTAGTTTCTGAAAATAGGTAGAATAAAACAGCCTGAACTGCATCAGTGCAAACATGACTCAAAGGTTTTTTTTCCTCAAAAATAATAGGTCTTTTTTGAACAGCAGAAATAAAGATATGCTTGACAATAGGCATGTCTCATGTTTTACGTTTGTTCTCTACATCATGTCCACCACAAAATTTCAGAAACTTTCAGACCTCTAGCTACAACAGTTCCAGAGCTGTAGGGCTTTGAACTTTTGGTGTCACGAGCATCTCCAAAAATCTCCAAATGTAATGGAATGAATAGAAGCATGAGCTGGGGATCAGTTGAGCAGTGATGAGGAACAGGGCAGAGCTAGACAGGTGAATGAAACTAGCAATCAAGCCAGCCATCAGAGCCCAAATCATGACAGCTCCTTCAGTACTAATCCTGTTGTTGGCAGATTTTCTAAACAGGTTCTAATAATGGAAGGCCCGTCATCTGAACGGAAACCAGTAGACCCTGGTTGAGTGACGGGTTGATCAGGATGGAGCAGCTCCACCTCTGCAGGATGACGACTCCTGACCCAAGTGTACATCCTTCGTCTCCTTACAGGTACCTCTTCTCCGCCATGCTCCAGCGGGCGCTCCTCGCTCCCATGGTCTGGATTCTGGTCACTTTGTTGGATGGGAAGATTTTCATCTGTGCATTCAGCGTCACTGTAGACCCTGGGCTTTTCTCAGGTAAACCTGAGCTCGGAATAACGCTTCATGCAGGCAGCAGGCCCCGGTTCTTTTCTAATGCCCTGTGTGTCCTCAGGTGTCCCCAACAACACGGGCCTGGATGTGATTAAAATCATGGCCAAGGTGCCCTGCAAGGAGGATGTGATCTTTAGGAACAGCTCCTTCCGTAAAGCCGTCTCCAGATATGTGCGATGCTACTCTCAGGTACGCTAACCCTCAGTCCAACACAGGGGTTGCCAATTCCGGCTCCTGAAGGCTGCTACTCTGCAGCCTCTAGGTTTGACCTTAGTCAACCTCCTCAGGATGCTGTCTGTTTCTGCAGTCCTCTTATTCATCTAATTACTTGTTTAATGTGTGTTGGACTAAGGGGGGACCTAAAAGCTGCAAGATAGGGGCCCTAAGGAACCAGAACCTTCCACCCCTAGTCCAACAGGTGTAGCTATGGCTCCTGTAGGACCACTGATGCATTTATGGTGCAGGGGAACAGTTTTACCTTTTAAGGATTTCCTGTCTTTGCTCTTCCCTCTATCCTACACATTCCAAGTGTTTAAAGCAGAGAGTACACACCAACAGGTGTTTAGAGATGAGATCCAGACAGGTGCCGGTAGAGTGGGTAGATAGGCAGGGTGGATGTGGCTAAAGGGGGGATTTACCAATAGGCAATACTAGGCAGTTGCCTAGGGCCCCAGGTTCCTGGAGGCCCCATAAAACTCTGTATACATGTATGGTTAATACAACTATTCCTTATTTGTTCACATTAATTATGTGTTTAATAGAAATCCTTTCACAAAAATGCCATCAGAATGCTTATATATTAAGTGTGTCTCAGCCCCCCCACCCTTCAGTGTCCACCATATTGAATCAGTCCATTTGCTGCACATGTTCAGAAAGATCCAAACAGACAGCAGCAAACCATTTGGAAACAAACAATGCCAAGAGCAGTGTTGCAATCTTAGTGCTTTAGTCGCTATATTTAGCGACTTTTCAGACCCCTCTAGCACTTTTATTCCAAAAAAGCACCTAGCACCAAATCTAGTAACTTTTTTTCTGCTACTGGAGGCTTTGAAGACAACATGTAAAAGCAGCATTTGTTAAAAAAACCCAAAGGTTTAACATTCACCTGGCTAAATTTCTGTAAGAACAGATGAGATGGTAATGAGTTAAAAGCAGAACTAGAATCAATGAAAAAAGGCGTGCATAGACTTGGGGATCTTCCAGATGCTCATGTAGCAGGTTGTTGATGCGTCTGGGTCTGTTTGAAGACTAACAGCTTGTGTCTCCTGCTCTGATCTCCAGGCAGTAGGCTGGTCCATCCTCCTGTTCCTTATCGTAGTAGGAGCACTGGGACGCCTCATCAAGCCCTGCTTTGACGACCACGCCGCTTTCCTGCAGACACGGTACTGGAGCAACTACCTGGATGTGGAGCAGAAGCTTTTTGATGAAACCTGTGTCCTCCATGCCCGGGACTTTGCCCGCAAATGTGTGGTCCAGTTCTTTGAGGACATGACAGAAGACTCCATTCTTCATCTGCCACATCCACCCTTCATCACCAAGGGCAGCGAGAGCTGGGAGGATGAAGAGGACAGACTCCATGGGATAACCAAGCAGGAGCAGATGGACCAGCTGCTCAACAAGTGGTACTACAGCAAACCTGAACTGGACGTGACCAGGATGGCTCACAGACCGCGGCCGTGCGTGACCTGGGAGGACCCCGGAGGGAAGACTTTATACTCGGATGTCTGACTCTGGCCGCTTTGGTGACTGCAGCACGGAGGTTGGAAACATTTCCTGGAAAACACCGGAATTTAAAGTAGGAAACTGTGGTTATGGAGATGACCTGTTGATGGTTTATATCTTAATAAATCATTGGTATATCGAATGCAGACGGTGGTGTATCAGTTTGTGAAAGAATTGGTTCCTGATACCGACTGGAGCAACTGATCCTAAAAGGCTTCTTTAGAGACGCTGAAGCTTCTGCTCTTTCTAAACCTCCAACTTCTCCAAAAAAATCATTTTATCTACACTTCAAAGTCAAGATTTGATCAGATCTTATGTTGTTTTTTAGAAAAAGCAGTATCTCTGTAGGAAGGTGGGGTGTGAGAGGTTGCCACGCTTCGGGACAAAGTTAGCTTTTCTAAAAAAATCCCTCATGTTTTGTTCCAAGTGAAGGTCTCTGGTTAAGAGTCAGTGAAACATTTGAATGTTTCTGGGTGGGGATGGTTTGCATAGAGGGTTACAGACTTAGGAAGGCATGCAAATCTACACTTACCGGAGGGGAGGGGAGGGGAGATAAATAAAAATTTGCCAAACAATTCTGGGTTGATTTTCATGGTGATTAATAAATGTAAAATTGATCCTTCCTTCCTTCAAAGGTTGTGGAGGTCACTACTCATTAAAATTACCTTATTCTGTTAACTCCTCTAATAGAAAACCTCTGAGGAGCTTCTGGGAGGTTTAGAGTAGAATAGAATAAAATTGAATTGAATTGAATTGAAAATCCCTTTATTGTCCCAAATGAAAAAAAAAATGTTTTCTTCTTCCAGATGATTCTGACCGCAGATGTTTGAAGATGCAGCTAGAAGCGTTTGTACATGTCAGTGAGGCCACTATCCAGAGCTGTGTTTGCTTTTACCAACTGGAGCATCACTTCCAAGACTTTCCAAATACTGACAGACTCCAGCTGCTTTTTTCTTCATTATTTCATTGCAGATAGTTTAGGGGACGTGACATGTAAGAGATTATTGTGATATCATCTCTGACCCGTGATTAAAATGAGATCTAAGGCACCTCCTATTCATTCTGACAGCAGCTGTCTAAACTGGGGTCCGGTCCAAGATGGCCGCCCTCTAGGTACGTCGGCGAGCGTCCAATGAGGCGTCTACCTATGGAAAAGACTGCTGAACCGGAGCGCTCCCAGACATAGACATAATATAAGAGTAGACCCCGATCGCTTTCGCCCAAAACCACTGATCTCTATTTATTCACTGGATTGCTGATTGCCCGTTGGCAGTACGGGGTTGAAGTGGAGCCACAGGCCGCCATATTGCTACTCCCTCGTTAGACCAGTCAAAATGTAAACAATGATGTTCTCATTTTCAGGGGGGCTTAAGACTTTTTAAATAAAGATAAATTCATCACTTTGACACACACTGGCTGTTTCATAGCATCAGTCGACAGCTCAGCTCAGTGTAATGGGCTCTATGCACAGCTCCACTACTTCCTGAATTTAAGGCAGCTCCTTTGTTTCCTGTCTTTCATTACTGGACGAACTGATTAATCCAGGTGTGTCTGGCCAGTTACTTAGGTCATACACACCTGGATTAATCAGTGCATCCAATCATGAAAGACAGGAAACAAAGGAGCTGCCTTAAATTCAGGAAGTAGTGGAGCTGTGCATAGAGTTTACAAATTGGAATCCGGTTCACTTAACAAAAACCATCAATAAACTTGTCGGAGAAGTCAAAGGTGCCAGAATTCTGTACAGTGGAGACCTGCTAATTAACTGCAGAGACAGCGCCCAGCAAGGCAAAGCAATACGTATCAACAAAATTGACGGGATAAGAGTTCAGTGCAGCCTAATGGAGAACAAAAAGATCAGCAGGGGAGTCATTGGAGGAGTTCCTCTAAAAATTTCTGAAAAAGAGATTCTGGAAAACATAAGCGGTGCAAAAGTAAAAGAAGTAAAACGGTTAAAAACAACAAGAAACGGAGAAAGATCTGACAGTTTATCTGTGCTAATTAAATTCGAAGAAGAGCAATTACCAAGCAAAGTATTCATCGGTTACATAAGCTATAATGTCAAAATCTACAATCCTCCACCATTGAGATGTTTCAAATGCCAAAAATTCGGTCACGTTGCAGCAGTTTGTAAAGGGAAACAGAGGTGTGGAAGGTGTGCAGGAGAACATGAGTACGGAAAATGTGGAAAAGAAGCTAAAATAAAATGCTGTAATTGTGGTGGAGAACATACTGCTGCCTATCGCGGCTGTGAAGCAAGCAAAAGGTCTGAGGAAATTAAAAAAATGAAATTTGAGCTCGGAATAACCTACGCTGAAGCTGCAAAAAGGATCCCATCTCAGTCAGAAAAACCCAAACCTACAGTTCAACACACAGCAAATTCCAAACCTCTAGAGAAATCTCCAAAAATTAATGAAGACTCACTTATTGTTAAAAAGACAAATTTTTTTCTTTTCATGGTAGAAGTAATTAATTGTACTGCACAGACAACAAAAAAAACGGAAAAAATCAAAATAATAGTGAAGGCTGCAGAAAAATATCTGGACATTAAAGATTTGAACTGGGAGATGGTTGGAAGTATGATGGGAGGACCGATGGGACCATCAGAAACTGGCAGAGTTAAGATGACCTAGAGTAAATTAAAATTATATGGGCAAATGTGATTTAGTATTATGTTGGTTTAAGTTACACAGGTTTTTTTTTTTTTTTTTTTTTTTTTTTTTTTTTTTTTTTTTTTTGGGGGGGGGGTGAATCGTTTCCTGTTATCTTGCTTTACTCCATATCAGTTGGTGGCGGTAATGCACAATTCACAAGTCTGCCAACCGCCATAAAATCCCATAAGAAGAAGAAGAAGAAGCTGTGCATAGAGCCTATTTGTTGAGCAGGAACATAATCAATTTTAATCAACTTCAACTTTCTGAATATTGAACTCATTTTCACACTGTTGGTTTTTATTTGCTGAAAACAAACAAATAGTTCAGATTATTTAGATGTTCTCAGTGGGGTTAAGAGTAATAGAATATTCTGATTCGATGTATGTCTGTTATTTTTAAACAGTTTTTAAAGTCCACAGTTGTTTGACCAAAGTTGCTCTAATTTTTTCTCAGAATAGGGCTTGGTCGTCGTGACGTAGGCACTTCGCGTCGCCGCCATGTTGAATGCGTCTTTTACAGCAGCTCAGACTACTGCCTATGACTACCGGGTACTGTACTCCCTCTCAGCCGTGTTTTAATTTGATTAATTTCACCTTAACTTGATTTCAACCATGGTAAACCGTTGCTGTATTGTGGGCTGTAACAGCTCAATGCATGATCGCCATGGAAACATAGAAAATGGGTTAACTTTCCACCGCTTTCCTGAATGGACGCGTAACCATGGAGACCAAGCGTCAGAGATAAAGAGTCGTCGGCTAGCTTGGATCGCGGCTGTAAGACGACCGAACATAACTTTCCACAGTATTCCAATGTCATTGAGAGTGTGTTCCCTGCATTTTCATTCTGGTAAGTTAAAGATGCACGGTTTTATTTTATAGCCTACTTTGTTTCTTTCCTTCAAAGTTGGGATCTTTTATGGGAAAATAATAAAAACGGCAGCGGGAAAATGCTCAAATACGTGAGAAACCCGGAGGGTTGGCCGTTAACGTTACTAACTACACCTTTGAAACACATAGCAGCTAGTTAAAAGTACATTACATGCGTGAGTGGTTGTTAGCACTAGCGGTTAGCAGTTGCTAAACTAGCAGGTTCCAGGGCCCGTCTGATCACAGCTTACCTTCGTACGGATTACTGTGTTCCCACTGTTTGCTGGCTTTATGATCTGCAGCTCCTGAACCCATCCATTCATGAACTGCACATGAGACTCCAAGGACTTGTAGCTTCTGAACTGTTTTGAAGTATAGGCGCTCGCTCATCGGTGCTCCACTCATTGTTTGGAACTTCAAATGGATCCAAATGATTAATAATGCTGATTTTGTCACCATACCGGTCCCTGGCTTCTCTATTTAATGTGTCCCGGCAAATTCCAGATCCTTTTCGGGATTTTAACATCTTTTTTCTCTCTACTTCTGTCTCTTCTTTCAACAACAACGTTGTGTCAGAGTTATGTTTACGTTTGCGTAGCCGTCAATATGACCGCGACGTCCCACAATGCAACGTGGATCCCGAGCCCTATTCCGAGGAAAGTCAGAATTCTGTTTTTTCCCCCATATTAAACTGAAATAATATTTAAAAATCAGTTAACTTTCTTTTCCCAGTGGCTCTGATCCTCTTACGTAATTACCTTCACAAAGGCACAAACAGTAATACGCGGCACAGTGTTGAGGCGTCTTCTGTTTTGCGTAAACCAGCTTGTTAGGGTAGCGGGTCGACCTCTCCAAGATGGCGCCCATAATTTCTGCGCTGCGACAGTCAATGCGGGGTCTACTCTTATTTGAATGTCTCAATCTGGAGCTGATGAGACACCCCTAATGTATGTGTGCTTGTTTTTTTTTTTTTTTTTTCTTCTTGTTTGTGTTTTGTTTGTTTTTATTTTATGTTCAATATGTCTTGTAAATGTGGAAGCAACCTGGGTCGGCTAGTCCAGGTTTTTCAGGTTTATATACATCTGATACCGACACTTTGTCTACTGTATGTGATGGTTTACAATAAAATAATAATAATAATAATAAAAAAAAAAATCTTATTTCAATTGCTAAGGCTCCCAAACAGCAGGTGGCGCTAATTTGAGCAAGAAGGAGGACCCGGATATGGAACAAATTCTCACATCCGGGCGGGCAGATTTCAAACAAACAAGATGGATCTGATAGCTGCGCTGCAATTCCTCAACCTGAACCAAGTCCCACAAGGTAACAGATGGGGTCATTTCTGTGTTTTTATCCGGGGAAGGTGAAGAAATGCTGGATTTTCTTCCTGGTTCCGCTTTTTGCGGCTTCGCCTTCAGATTATCTGGGTCCAACATCAGCTGATCAGAACCTGCTGAGCAGAACATTTAGTGGACTGTTCAATCAAAGCTTGGCTTTCTTTGTCTTATTATCGTTGCTAACTGTTTAATGTTGAAGGTATTAATGCAAGTTTATCATGGAGGTATTATTCAGTGGACCGATTGAAGAATGCAATTGTTCTTTCTTCAAATAAAGTAAAACCAAATAACCCGCAACAGGTTGCTAGGAGCGAACTTCGGGTTAGTGCCTAAAAAAAAGAAGGTTCAATTCACAAAGAAATTCAGAAATGGATAAAAAGACAGAGTTAAGTTCGTTTTGAGGTGAATTTATTCCATTATATTTACTTTACTAATTTAAAAGATGAAGTCATAGAGTTTGAAGCTGATTAATTTTAAATTGAGCAATAATTAATGGTCTTATGGTTTCCTGTCAGCAGAGAAAAATGATCCCAGGAACTTCTGGTTGTTTCTGCCTTATTTCTAATTTCATCTTTGTTATGGTTCTGGTTGACGGTTCTGACCCAAACCTAGCTGATGTAAGGATTCCTAAAGCAGCAGCCGAATATCCAGTTAGTACCGTTTTCAAAAGCTTGAAGAAAATCTGTTTTTGGAGAGAATTACTCCATATCTGGGTTGATGATGTCACACCAGTCTGTCCTCTGATTGGAGAACTATAGGAACCAGCTTGTTACTGTAATGAAGTGGCTTCCTCAGTTACTGCAGCTGCTGTCCCTTATTTATGCAACATGGCTGATGAAGATGATGGTGAAGGTGTGAAAGGCAATGAAGCACGGTCCGTTTAACTTGGGGTCTGATCTAGTCCAGGTCCATTTAGTTCCAGGTCTGATCTAGTCCAGGTCCATTTAGTTCCAGGTGTGATCTGGTCCAGGTCCATTTAGTTCCATGTGTGGTCTGGTCCCGGTCCATTTAGCTCCAGGTGTGATCTGGTCCAGGTCTATTTAGATCCAGGTGTGGTCTGGTCCAGGTCCATTTAGTTCCAGGTGTGATCTGGTCCATGTCCATTTAGCTCCAGGTGTGATCTGGTCCAGGTCCATTTAGTTCCAGGTGTGATCTGGTCCCGGTCCATTTAGCTCCAGGTGTGATCTGGTCCAGGCCTATTTAGATCCAGGTGTGGTCTGGTCCAGGTCCATTTAGTTCCAGGTGTGATCTGGTCCATGTCCATTTAGTTCCAGGTGTGATCTGGTCCAGGTCTATTTAGCTCCAGGTGTGGTCTGGTCCAGGTCCATTTAGCTCCAGGTGTGATCTGGTCCAGGTCCATTTAGCTCCAGGTGTGGTCTGGTCCAGGTCCATTTAGCTCCAGGTGTGGTCTGGTCCAGGTCCATTTAGCTCCAGGTGTGGTCTGGTCCAGGTCCATTTAGCTCCAGGTGTGGTCTGGTCCAGGTCCATTTAGATCCAGGTGTGGTCTGGTCCAGGTCCATTTAGTTCCAGGTGTGGTCTGGTCCAGGTCCATTTAGCTCCAGGTGTGATCTGGTCCAGGTCTATTTAGATCCAGGTGTGGTCTGGTCCAGGTCCATTTAGTTCCAGGTGTGATCTGGTCCAGGTCCATTTAGTTCCAGGTGTGATCTGGTCCAGGTCTATTTAGATCCAGGTGTGGTCTGGTCCAGGTCCGTTTAGCTCCAGGTGTGATCTGGTCCAGGTCCGTTTAGCTCCAGGTGTGATCTGGTCCAGGTCCGTTTAGCTCCAGGTGTGATCTGGTCCAGGTCCGTTTAGCTCCAGGTGTGATCTGGTCCAGGTCCGTTTAGCTCCAGGTGTGATCTGGTCCAGGTCCGTTTAGCTCCAGGTGTGATCTGGTCCAGGTCCGTTTAGCTCCAGGTGTGATCTGGTCCAGGTCCGTTTAGCTCCAGGTGTGATCTGGTCCAGGTCCGTTTAGCTCCAGGTGTGATCTGGTCCAGGTCCGTTTAGCTCCAGGTGTGATCTGGTCCAGGTCTATTTAGATCCATGTCCATTTAGCTCCAGGTGTGATCTGGTCCAGATCCTTTTAGCTCCAGGTGTGATCTGGTCCAGGTCCATTTAGCTCCAGGTGTGATCTGGTCCAGGTCTATTTAGATCCATGTCCATTTAGCTACAGGTGTGATCTAGTCCAGGTTCTTTTACCTCCAGGTGAGATCTGGTCCAGGTCCGTTTAGCTCCAGGTGTGATCTGGTCCAGGTCCTTTTAGTTCCAGGTGTGATCTGGTCCAGGTCCTTTTAGTTCCAGGTGTGATCTGCTCCAGGTCCGTTTAGCTCCAGGTGTGATCTGGTCCAGGTCCGTTTAGCTCCAGGTGTGATCTGGTCCAGGTCCTTTTAGTTCCAGGTGTGATCTGGTCCAGGTCCTTTTAGTTCCAGGTGTGATCTGGTCCAGGTCTATTTACATCCACGAGTGATCTGGTCCACAGGGTTTCCGTGGGTCATTGAATTATTATTTTTTAAAATTAGGACTTAATTAGCATTAAGATTCAATACATATGATTATTGTGGCATTAAAAATCTTTATTTAAAAAAATATATTTATAAAAAAACAATTTAATCAGATATGTTATATCGCGATATATTTGCACGGAACTGTTTCCGGTTGATCGTCTAGCTGTATGTTTGGAAAAGTGGCTCGAAGAAGAGAAAAAGCTAGAGAATAGGAAAATGTAAATTTCAACAAAAGTGGCTGGAAAACAAGGAATTTGGCTGCAGCCTGTCAACGGTAAAGTTGATGAAGAATTTTGCATATATATATATATATATATATATATATATATATATATATATATATATATATATATATATATATATATATATATATCCTGGAGGAGCTGGCCAAAGTGGCTGGGGGAGGGATATATGGGCCTCCCTACTGAAGCTGCTATCCCAGCGACCCGACCCAAGATAAGCAGAAATGGATGGATGGATGGATGGATGGATGGATGGATGGATGGATGGATGGAAAACACCCACAAAAATGTTTGAAATCTGACTTCCTGCTGATGAATAATATTTTGTTGGACTTTTTAAAAAGATGTTTATTTAGTTTTTTGTGGGACATTTGGTTTCAAAGTAATTTCGGCCTAAAGAATCTGTCTCAAAAATCAGGGATGGGTTAGAATGAGGTCCACATAGTCGGGTTCCAAGGCTTAAAACCAGTTCCGGTCCATCTCTGCCAAGAAGCAGACTAACTCAGAATCCCAGTCCTCAGCTGTGCTATCATCCCCAGACTGGGTGGACGCCGTGTGGGACTTGGAGTTCACCGAGAGGCAACCACTGGACGCCATGATGGAGGATGAGCTGGCAGTTGCTGGGGAGAAGTCCTTCAGAACCCTGTACCGCTGCCTGATGGAGCAGGCGGCAGAACAGCAGCGGTCTTCCGGCCAGGAAGGGGTGTCTCAGGTCAGTTGGACCCCTTTGTCCAGACTCCGTCTGTCCCTCTGGCAGCACTAAGTCTGCTGATATCCTCCTCTGCAGGGTGTCTGGGTGGTCCTTGGAGACAGCGGAGTGTCTGTGAAGTCCCTGGTGGCGGTTCTGTCACACTTTATTCTGACGGCAAAGGCCAAAGAGGGGGGTGTTCAGCAGAGGGTCTGTGGACTCTATGCAGCATCTGTCTACCTGCTGCTTCTGGGGGTCCCAGGTGAGCTGAACTGGGAGCTTCCAGCTTCCTGTAGCTACAGAGCTCCATCTGTTTGTTTGCTGCAGTTCTCTTCATGTTCTTTGCTGCTTTCAGGAAGCATCGCCAACAAGGTGTTCCATGAGGTTCTGTTGGACACGTGTTCTGACTTGCCGTCCCACTGCTGGCCTCAGGAGCACGGCAGGAAGCGCAAGAAAGACGCCCTGAAAGCTTCCCAGGCTGACGGCAAGAGGTCCAAGCCTCAGAGGAGAGACGCCATGGAGGTGCAGGGGGTCAAGTTTATCATACAGACGTTAAGGGCCACCCTTTTTTTCACTGATCTGCTCCAAGTCCATTTAGCTCCATGTGCATGTAGCCACATGTGCATTATTTAGCTCCAGGTCCATTTAGCTCCATGTGCATGTAGCCACATGTGCATTATTTAGCTCAATGACCATTTAGCTCCATGACCCTTTAGCTCCATGTCCATTTAGCTCCAGGTCCATTTAGCTCCATGACCCTTTAGCTTCATGACCCTTTAGCTCCATGACCCTTTAGCTCCATGACCATTTAGCTCCATGACCATTTAGCTCCATGACCATTTAGCTCCATGACCCTTTAGCTCCATGACCATTTAGCTCCATGACCATTTAGCTCCATGACCCTTTAGCTCCATGTCCATTTAGCTCCATGTCCATTTAGCTCCATGTCCATTTAGCTCCATGACCCTTTAGCTCCATGACCATTTAGCTCCATGACCCTTTAGCTCCATGTCCATTTAGCTCCATGTCCATTTAGCTCCATGACCATTTAGCTCCATGACCCTTTAGCTCCATGACCCTTTAGCTCCATGACCATTTAGCTCCATGACCCTTTAGCTCCATGTCCATTTAGCTCCATGTCCATTTAGCTCCATGACCCTTTAGCTCCATGACCCTTTAGCTCCATGACCCTTTAGCTCCATGACCCTTTAGCTCCATGACCCTTTAGCTCCATGTCCATTTAGCTCCATGACCCTTTAGCTCCATGACCATTTAGCTCCATGACCATTTAGCTCCATGACCCTTTAGCTCCATGTCCATTTAGCTCCATGTCCATTTAGCTCCATGTCCATTTAGCTCCATGACCCTTTAGCTCCATGACCCTTTAGCTCCATGTCCATTTAGCACCATGACCCTTTAGCTCCATGACCCTTTAGCTCAATGACCCTTTAGCTCCATGTCCATTTAGCTCCATGACCCTTTAGCTCCATGACCATTTAGCTCCATGACCCTTTAGCTCCATGTCCATTTAGCTCCATGACCCTTTAGCTCCATGACCCTTTAGCTCCATGACCCTTTAGCTCCATGTCCATTTAGCTCCATGACCCTTTAGCTCCATGACCCTTTAGCTCCATGACCCTTTAGCTCCATGACCCTTTAGCTCCATGTCCATTTAGCTCCATGTCCTTTTAGCTCAATGACCCTTTAGCTCAATGACCCTTTAGCTTCATGTCCATTTAGCTCCATGACCATTTAGCTCAATGACCATTTAGCTCAATGACCATTTAGCTCCATGACCATTTAGCTCCATGACCATTTAGCTCCATGACCATTTAGCTCAATTACCCTTTAGCTCCATGTCCATTTAGCTCCAGGTCCTTTTAGGTCCATGACCATTTAGCTCAATGACCCTTTAGCTCCATGACCCTTTAGCTCCATGACCCTTTAGCTCCATGACCATTTAGCTCCATGACCATTTAGCTCAATTACCCTTTAGCTCCATGTCCATTTAGCTCCATGACCATTTAGCTCCATGACCATTTAGCTCCATGACCATTTAGCTCCATGACCCTTTAGCTCCATGTCCATTTAGCTCCATGTCCATTTAGCTCCATGACCATTTAGCTCCATGACCCTTTAGCTCCATGACCCTTTAGCTCCATGGCCATTTAGCTCCATGACCATTTAGCTCAATTACCCTTTAGCTCCATGTCCATTTAGCTCCATGACCATTTAGCTCCATGACCATTTAGCTCCATGTCCATTTAGCTCCATGGCCATTTAGCTCCATGACCATTTAGATTCTCTGTAAAATCTGTAGAATTTCTCCTGAGGTCTGACTTTCACAGAAAGATTCTGATCGAACTATTCTGTTTATCTGCAATATTCTGATCTGAAGGACTTAAAGGCATGGTGAGTGGTCTAACTGAGAGTCTGCTGATTCTAGATGGACTTAGAAGAGGAAGAGGAAGAAGAAGAGCAGCATTTCTCTGGCCAGGACCTGATGAAGATCAGAGATGCCATTGCTCTCCTTGTCCAGAGTCTTCTCCGCTTGCTGCAGACGTTTCCCCTCAAAGACCGAACGCAGAGTGCCAGCAACTGCACACAGGTAAACCCCCCCACGCTCCATCTGTCCAGCAGGACCTTTTGTCCCCTCCGTCTGGTAGCAGTAGCAGGAACGTCTCTCCTCCTTCTCTACAGATCTTCAGTAAACTGCTGTCCTTCGAGCCTGTCGTGGGGGAGCTAACCTTCTCCCCTCCACAGTGAGTTCTCCGATCGCCTTGTCCTGATAAAAGAGGAACGACTTTGAGTTGGAGGTGATCTGGTCTGGTTTCTCCACAGGGACCTCAGCGAACTGAAGAGCATCCCAGAAATGGCCTTCTATGGCTTGAAGCTGCTCTGCTCACCGAAGCATGGAGACCAGAAAGAAGTAGGACTTCACAGGGACGGGTCACTGGGTCTTAGAGATGTCTATAAAGCTGCCACTGGACCAGAAACAGAACACCAGTAGGACTCAGACAGGAGGTGGACGTTCACTAAAACCTTACATAGGCCGTTCATCTGTTGACCATACAGAACCGAGAGGGTCAGGGAAAGGACTCGTTAGGAGGACAGATGCTCTGTGTGGTGAAGATGTATTCATGGACAACGTCTATGATTCGCCCATTGATTGCTGAAGACCATGGATGAAAGGTCCACCAGAGAGACATGGTTCTCCAGAAGTCAGACCGATTTTCTGTTAACAGAACCGGTCACCTCTTCTTTTCCATCCTGTCTGATTCACTGAACAAGTCACCTTAGACTCAGTGACTCATTGGGGAATCGAGTCAGTGACTCGTACGGAAAACTAAGTCAGGAAAGGTAATCAGGGACTCGTTAGGGAGCGGAGCCAGTGAGCCGTTTGGGAACAGAGTCAGTGACTCGTCGGGGAAACTCGTAAGGGAACGCAGTCAGGGACCGGTTTGGGAGCGCAGTCAGGGACCGGTTTGGGAGCGCAGTCAGGGACCGGTTTGGGAGCGCAGTCAGGGACCGGTTTGGGAGCGCAGTCAGGGACCGGTTTGGGAACGCAGTCAGGGACCCGTTTGGGAGCGCAGTCAGGGACCCGTTTGGGAGCGCAGTCAGGGACCCGTTTGGGAGCGCAGTCAGGGACCCGTTTGGGAGCGCAGTCAGGGACCCGTTTGGGAGCGCAGTCAGGGACCCGTTTGGGAACGCAGTCAGGGACTCTTCCGGGAAACACCTAAGGGAACTAGTCAGAGTAGAGATTCAGTGTCAAGTCAAGTTAGTGAACAAGTCAGTGACTCGTCAGGGAAACTCGTAAGGCAACGAATTTAGAAAAGGGATTCAGGGACACATTAGGGAATGGATTCAGTGAGTCCTTAGTGAATGGAGTCTGTCTCGTTAGAGAAAGGAGTAAGTGACTCGTCAAGGAAATTGGTAAGACAATGGAATCAGGAAAGGGATTCGGGGACCTACTAGGGAATGGAGTCAACAACTTGTTTGGGAATGCAGTCAGTGACTCGTTAGGGAATGGAGTCAGTGACTCGTCATGGAAATTGGTAAGACAATGGAGTCAGGAAAGGGCTTCAGGGACCGATTAGGGAATGGAGTCAGCGACTCGTTAGGGAATGGAGTGAGCGACTCGTTAGGGAATGGAGTCAGCGACTCGTTAGGGAATGGAGTCAGCGACTCGTTAGGGAATGGAGTCAGCGACTCGTCATGGAAATTGGTAAGACAATGGAGTCAGGAAAGGGCTTCAGGGACCTATTAGGGAATGGAGTCAGTGACTCGTTAGAGAATGGAGTCAGCGACTCGTTAGGGAATGGAGTCAGTGACTCGTCAGTAGAGTTGGAAATTGATAAGATTTTCACAATTCCAATTCTCTTATTGATTCTGTGAAAATATTCGATTCCTTATCAATTCTGTGAAACGATGAACTTGGTAAGTGCACGGTGACATTCGTCTACCTTCGCCTGGGACATTCTATTTCTGCCTGCCTCGGCGAAAACAGAGGGCAGTGAACAGGAGCTGCCAGCCCCTGAGCAGCCAGGCTACTCGTCTCGTCCCAGTCAACTAAATCTAATGGAGAAGGCATCCGTTTAATGATAAAGCATTACTGTACAATTTCAGGAAATAACCTCATCTCCCCCTGATTTAAATAAACAAGCGTCACCTTTCTCTCGCTCCCTGAACAGCGGAGCAACTTCGTAGCATGTTAAATAACCCCAAAGAGAGGTAGGAAACTGGTTTATTTCCAGAAATGGGATATGATTTACTAGGAGCCACATTAAGCACAGCCAGTGATATAAAACTAGCTACTACCACCAGAGTTGCTTTCCATGATGGTCGTAACTTTAGCTGCTGTCCAGAAGCATCAAAAACACGACATTCGTTAAAATGTATGCCATGTTGTGTGCGCAGGTGTTTCTGCATGTTGGACGTATTTCCTCCTGCAGATGTTATTGCCACTTTAGATCCAAACTTTCGATCACTTTACCCGATGGGACACAATTTTTTTTGTTTTGCTTTTCTAGACGTAACTTGGGTAGAAACGTGATGTAAGTTTTGCTGCCTAGCGCTAGGCTTTGGTGCTTTCCTGGAACCGTTAAGAGAACCGTGAAGCGAGCTGCCAAACGGTGCCATGGAATTGGAACACATGGAACCGGTTCCCATCCCTACTCGTCAGGGAAACCGGTTCAGTGACCGGTTTGGGAATGGAGTCAGTTACTGCGATCATTACAGTTCTCGTTTAGACAGCTGAAGTGATGGAATGCAAGGATTTCAACATTAATGTTTTGTCTTTGTGGAGTTCATTACAATGAGCTCTAACTGCTGAAATGTTGTGATGAAGCACTTTTAAACCCAGAGCTCCACTGATGAACCGTCTGTCCCTCAGTCCCTAAGGAGAGTCTTCTATCGGCTGCTCTACGTCATCCTGATGATGAATAAAGTCCATGGCAGGAAGCCTTCCCTCCTCGTCCCCAACCAGGCCGTCCTCAACACGCGGGACCAGGCCATCCACTTCGTCTGGTAAGCAGCTCTCATCCAACAGGCTGGATGGAGAGAATTTCTGAATCCTTTTTGGGATCTTCATAGAACCAGACTTTGTATCGAGGTTTCAACACATGCTTAGTTTGTGTTTTAGGAAATCAACCTGGCATTAGATTCTTTAGTTCACTTTCAATTCCACTCAGCATCCATCTCCAAAGGCTCCAGTGGAAGGAGTTTGCAAACGGAGGGACATTCAGTACAATTCTTCAAGCTGATTGGTTAAATCAGCAAGTGGCACCCGCATCGATGTCTGTCAGCCAATCACAGCAGCAGCTGTGGCGTATTACATTCCTGATTAGGTTCACAGCTAGTGGAATCAGACTCTTACCAAACCGATCCAGAGGAAACCAATAATCATGGCGTCCTCCTGCTTGGTCCTACCACCGGTGCAGCCATGTTTGTTTTGCTTTAGTCATCTGGTTAAACCTCATTCAAGTCACTGCATTTCAGGGCCGCTAGAAGTACTTTGGGACAAAAGACCTATGAGTCTACAGGCCCATTTAGAATACAATACAAATAAGTAAATAGAGAATGACTAATGACTACTTTATCATACACATCTCTATGTACATAACCAGGGTTTGTAACACACGTACATCATCAGTTCTCAGGTGATTATATGCGCTATTGATTAAACTTCACAATAACACTATAACGACGTAGATTTGGTCAGCTGTGTCACTGTGTTTATGTCACACGTGACTCTATTAGCTCCAAAATCCTTATAGGCAAACCACAAGGAAATAATGATATCCCTCTATTTAAGTGTTATTGAACAGTTCTCCACATCTGTTACACAAAGAACACAAGATCAAAATAACACTGTAAAATAATACAGTTTCCTAAAACTGCATAAATAGATGTGAAAGTGTGTGGCTGCATGATGCTCTTACTTTGAGCTACAGATGTCCAAATGTTCAGGTGCGCTCTGAGGTCATGGAGATAAAGTCTCTCACAAGGATTAAAGTATTCTGGCCCCAGGCCTGTGATTAAAGTGTTTCGCAACATTTCTGTTTTAAGAGTTTAACACATATATGGTCTTTTGATAAGATGTATTTTTGGGAGCTTGTGGATTCTCTCCAGATCTGGTGACAGTTCATCTTCGTCGCAAAGCAATTAGCAAATTGACAAACGCACTTAAGCTGGACATACACTGTAACATTTTTTTTGCCCGTTTCGGGCCGAATTTCCAGTCGTGTGAGAATTTTTCGATCGTGGCCATCTTTGAGCCTGATGGTGCATCATGTGGTGTACAGGGGTGACAAGGGGCAATCAGCCTCTCACAACTACATCCTGATCAGGAATCGTAAGGTCGGAAGAAAATCAAACATGTCTGAGGCTTTGTGAAGGTAAATCTGCATGGTCCGATATCGTGTCACACACCTAAAAGAAAATGTACCAGTATAATAAAGCTATTACTCAGCTTTATACTTTTTTTAATATATGGAAACTATATATTTTCTGAGAATGTTTTTTTTTTTGGTTGCAAATTAACAAACATCTATAAAAAGTTGACTATAATCTATTATTTTCTTCTTTGTCTTTTCTAAAAAGTGCTTTAAATCAGTCCTTCCTGTCGGAGACGCGTTTTAAGTCTGTCTGTCCAGACTGTGTCCACGTCTAATCACTCCGGTCACTTTTAAAAAGAATGCAGGGAAAACAAAGAAGTACATTAGCCGTCCCACAGGCTGTTAGCCGAGACTTACGCTGGAACCAACTCCTGCAAAAAGTCTGGTTGTTTGCTGCGTTACATTTATTTCGGTCTTGTCAGGTCCCTGCTTCTTTTAAATAGATTTTTTTCCACCATCGTCCTTCGTCGCGAAAGACTAACTCAGTAAAGATCTCCCTGAATTGGGTGAAAGCTGCTCTTTATGTCCAACTGTCATCGTCGCCATAATCTCTCCCTCACAGCCTGACTGACTACTAGCTACATCACCTATATCACTGTAGCAGGAGCCCCAAAGCCATTCATTTTGGCAATGCTGATTGGCCAAATATTTATTCATTTTCCCTAGCAATAGGGTTGTCACGATACTAAACTTTTCAACTCGATACCGATACTAAGGAAAATATTCGATACTCGATACCATTTTCGATACCACAAGAATAAAAACAAATACAATAAAGGTTGTATGCTGTGCACAATACTAAGGAAGCTTGATAAAAAACGTATAAGTGGCGCAGTGGGAAGCACTGCTGCCTCGCAGCAAGAAGGTTCTGGGTTCGATTCCTGGCCCAGGGTCTTTCTGCATGGAGTTTGCATGTTCTCCCTGAGGATACGTGGGTTCACTCCGGCTTCCTCCCACAGTCCAAAAACAAGACTGTTAGGTTATTTGGCTTCCCTAAATCGTCCTTAGGTGTGAGTGTGTGCATGAATGGTTGTTTGTCCTGTTTGTGATGGACTGGCGACCTGTCCAGGGTGTACCTCGCCCATTGACTGCTGGAGATAGGCACCAGCACCCCTTGCGACTCCACTCGGGACAAGCGTGTAAGAAGATGAATGGAAAATTAAAATTTCCTTCCTCGGCTATGCTTTGCACACATAACAGTGACACTAGCCAAAACCGGTTAAGAAACAAAAATAATTCTCAGCAGGTGCACCTCTTGCAAAGAAAAAGTCTCAAAATAAAAAAAGTGAACAGAATTATTCAATCACACGGTGTTCTGAAAGTTCATTTTCCACTATTCTGCACTTTAGATGAATGACTGTTTAGGTGCCACTGGTGGTAGCAGTGTATCGATACTTTTAAAACCGAGTATTGTATCCGGATACAACATTACACTATCGATACTTTTATGAGTATCGATACTTTTGACAACCCTACCTAGCAACATTATACAATTGGTTATTTCACTACACTTCAGGGGCGCTTTGAATGAGCACCCAAGAAAAATGTTGTGTCAGTGGAAATGCACTGTTGAATGAGAGTCAATTGGTAGAAGTGTTGTTTTAATAATTCATATTACATGTAGCCACTTACTATTATGTAAAGCTGACATTGATAATACTTTTTAAATCTATATATATTATTTATGACTGTACCCCTCCACATCTAGGGAGGGCAGCACCTCAGCGCCCCCTATGGGCCAGCCGCCACTGGTCGGGTCGTACAGTGTGAGAGCAAGCATCGTATTCTTTGAATTTTAAACCTTGCGGTTTCTTCATGCAGTTTGAGCTGTAGCTGCGTGCAGTGATTGAAAAGATCGCACAGCGGATGCCCGGCTTTAATTGACCATTTAATTAATAAGGTTCTATACAGCCGCCGGCTGCTTTACTCACTGTGAACAGCTTCTCTGTTGCTCTCTTCTGGTGGGAAAAGTAAATGTAGTTGTTTTTTTAGGAAACTCTAAAATAAGAAGTTTCCAAATGTTTTTTTTGGATTACACCGCTAGCAGAGGTGGATTTAGTTTCAGCACCTCGTTTACAGTAACCTGCTGTGTTGTTCATGTGCTCTCCAGTCATCTGGTGGAGGAGCTGAAAGATCTGGCTCTACCTTTGCTTCAGATCCTCCTGCAGCACATCTGCTTCCAGGTGAGTCCTGAGCCAGAAGTCATCACAACCCCCCCTGACAGCTATAATGCAGTGTCATGGTTCTGCTTCTGCTCTGTAGATGGTGGAGAAGAGTGAGTATCGCAGCCATGGAGCCCAGGCTGTGGGGATGTTGACGTCTCAGATGGTCAGTGTGGACTACGCCTGCTTCATTAAGTGGCTGTTCAGCTTCTCCAGTCATTCAAAGGTAACATCACCATGGTTACTTGTTCCTCCATGAGACAGTGGCTGCCTGTGGGAGCCTCGCTACGGCTTTAGAACATCTTCAAGCAGTCAAATGTCCTTTCTGTCCCCACCTGTTGACTTCCCTCCCCCTCTCTGCAGATGGTGCACCGGCTGTTCTCCGTGGACGTGGTGATGGTGTTGTTGGCCCAGCCAGAGAGGAGCGTGGAGGACTGTCAGGACCCGGAGCTGGCCAGGTTCCTGCCTCAAAAGTTCCTGATCCAGGAGGTGTTGTTTGCCCGGCGAAACGATGAGTCTCCCACCGTCCAGGGTCACGCTCTGTCCTGCCTGGCGCAGTGCTTAGAGCTGCCCTCACTCAATGTGACCCG